ATGCGGGCGGAGCTACAGTGGAATGAGGTGTATAAAAGTGCTTACTTTGGTAACAACCAGTCCAGGTCTGAAACAATCTTAGCATGTTTGGTAAAACTTGAAAAGTGGTGTTTACTTTGCAGATAGCCTCAAATAATCTGACTAAGTTAGTGTTGTATTTTAAAAAAAGTGATACAGTTCATATTTTTATCAGAATCAAGGTTATTTTACTTATCATTTAGATAAAATGTGCAACCTGAAAAGGATAAAAAGAGCACTATTAAACAAAAAACAAACCCATCATCAAGCTTAGTATTACGCAACATTTTAATAAAAAGATAAACAAATAATCAATCGCTTACCTTGCAAATTAGAGATATGTACTTTTATCTGTTTGAGAAAACCCAATGAAGTTTGTGGTTGTAATATAAAAATGACAAAATGTTCAAGGTGCATGAATACTTTTATAAGACACCGTACATAATAGCTCCCCTGTCCCACACCAGGTATCTGTTCACCTTGAGATTTCTGGCACCTTCTGGCTCGACATTTCTGTTACTCTCCTCTGGTCCTGCTGTGGATCCGGAGGGAGGTCACCGAATGGTCTCTCGTTTGAAAAAGAAAAAAAAAAAAAAAAACAGGTGCTGACCTTCTGCTAAATTGTCCGCATTCGTGGAATATCAGGTTATTGAGTTGATCCATGCTGTGATTCTATGGCTGGGAAAAATGATCTATGCTATTGTCTGACTTTCCCCGTAGATCAAGGACAAGAATGTGTATGTGTGGAGATGCAACACTTTTACTAAAGATGTTGCCCCAAATGTCCTAATGGTTTAAGGGGAAAAAAACATCCAACAGCAAACAAACAACCAAGCATCACTAGTCTGTTGTAAACAAATACATTAGTCTGAGTGGTAAGTGCTTTCCACTTATGAAGAGACTTGCAGCTCATATCCAAAAGAAAATAAATAACAGCTCTCTGCTCTAAATTCTTTGAGCCGCTGCAGTAAAAAAAAAGGGAACATTGTAAATGAATGCAGCTGCACAACCCCAACAATTCATTGCACTGTACTTTCAAGTTGTTGATTCCTCGAGAAAGGCAAATAATAGTCATTTTGCAAAATTGCAGGCCTATCCTTCAACAACTGGGGAAAACAGTTAAAATTGGGCCCGGCTAGGGAAGAAGCAGCCCTCTTGCTGAAGTATTTCATATATTTGGGACAGCATAATGAAATAAGTCATTTCTGCCAACAGTTCACATTACCTCCCAATGGTTAAGAACCATAATCCCAATAGCATTTTGAATTCTACCACACGTACAGTGGAAAAAATTTAATGCATGATTACAGTGTTCCTCTCCCTCCACGTAGTTATTTCATTTATGCATTTTGCACATGAATTGGAGAAGCTGAGCACCGTCGTGTTCAATTACACAGCAATTCGGGAAAACGGAGCAAGAACAACCACAGCTATCCTCTACAACAATATACCACAGGGGAACTTGTAATGTGAGCACAGTTTGAAATGATACCAGTCTGTCACAGAAGACACTGTGGTCGTATAATTGAAAACTCTTCAAAAATAATACACAAGTCACATTCTGTTTGACTCATTTTGATTTTATTTTTTTTTTTGCAAGATGTGATTCACATTTTGTCTGCGCTGCAACAATCACAAGATGCTCGGAGTGTTTGTTGGAGTGAGATGGGTGCCAAATCAAAGCCGCTGTTGCTTTGTGATTAAACCAAAGGTTCCTGTTCAGACTCATTAACTGGAACGATGAGAGCTCCTCGTACGGCGCTGATGTTGTCATACTCATCAGAACAGAGACGAGCAGAGAGGAAGTTTGTTGGCAAAGTTTGTCATAAATCAAGTTAGTCACTAGAAATGAAAGAAGCAAAAGCAGCAACTACTTCATTTCTTTGTCTTCCCTCCAACCTACTAAGCTGCCTTGGTAAAATCAGGATTTATTTAAATTGGTCAAAACGAAGTGTAAAGGTTATTCTAATTTTTGATATGAGTCACACAGGGCGATATTTACCTTGCATTGCAATGGTTTTGAACTCAGTTTTTGGAGAATGGAGGATATGGAGATGTGTCCAATTAAAATAGAACAATTAGAGCAAATCCATGCTAATAGGTTTTAACATTGATTAAAAGGACTTTATGGTTTTGGCATTTTTCTGCAAATTTGTTCCAGGTAAGAGGAGCATAAGAACTAAGTGCTGCTTCTCCATGTTTGGAGGATGCAGACTAGACTTGAACCTAGAAGATGATACAATGTCATTAAAACGTTTATGTGTTTGATTCATTGATTTATAAACTAACAGACACATTTTAAAGTCTAATCTCTGAAATACCAGCCAGTGTGAGCTCAAACTGGAGGAAAGCTAGCAATAATATATAGCTATAATATAGGATGGAAAGAAAAGAATGAATGGGTGGTGGCCTGAGCTTCATATGGATCCAGCCCCCTCTGGATCTCCGCTTAGTCACTAAACAGGACAGAGATTATTTATCTATTTTGCATATGTATCCAAACCTGCAACAAACTGAAATCAAGTGTCAGACTTTCTTGACTGAGTAGGTACCTTATCAAATGCAAACTTATGTAAAAAAGAAGCATGCTTAATCATGTACAGAACATTAAGGACCAAAGGAACAATGGTGTTAGATTTAACGTTAAGCATTTAAATTCTGCATTTTTATGTATTTTGTTGGTGCAATAATTGTCATAGTTGTTAACTTCATACCCCTGACTCCTTAAAAAAACTAACATATAAACATGCTTATATCTTTTATTTGCAGCCTGACCAACTTATATTACATTTTAAGGCCTCTGAGCCAATATGGAATAGTTGGTTGGGAAGCAGGGGACATAGCCATTCTCTCTCTTTATAGATCAAATCTGTCACTGCCACTAAAGACAACCTATCCCACCCCGCCAAGCTGCCAGCACAAGAAGGGCACCAAAACCCCTCCTGGTTGTGATATCAAACAATACTGCAGTTTAATTTCCAAAACCTTCAGGCGAATCATTAAATTGAAAGTGAAAAAATATGCATGTTTATAACAAATTTTTTTAATTTTTGGAAAAGAATACAGTAAGGGTCCTACAAGTAAAGTAAAATAAATTCCCAGCTCTGATCATCCCTGGGGTCTGCGTATCATAGGTTTCTTTCCTGCAGGGAGGCAAAGATTATTACAATATTCAGATTACCGAGCTGGGGAAATTAATTGGACTAATTAACATACAAGTAAATGATGATACCGTTAACACATTTCATTAACTCAAACTGTCATTCTATGTTGCTGGTGCACTTGGTATTGCATTACAATGAATTTGATTCATTAAGTTATGCAAATGAAAGAAATGAGGAAACAGACGAGTCCGTCTTTTTGGTGCGCCATGGACCACTTTGTCTGAAGTATTTTGTTCCAGCACAGTAAAAAGCATGAAAATTACCAGACAAAGCCTTTCAGAAAAAAATCCTTTCAATTATGTTCTTAAACACCAAGTAAGCTAATAAGTCTTTTTTTTATTTAATAGCTAAGTCAGTAGTGAATATCTAATAATGATTACAAAAAGGAAAATAGCCTAATTATTCAAATGTTAAAGTATAGATATAAAAAAAATGGCACATAGATTTCAGATTATTTTTATATTCACTTTTTGATCACTTTCATGGCTCTGTGAGGTTTCCTCAAAGTCACGAGGCTCTGCTTTGTTCTCCCGACATTTCTGGGTGACATTAAGTCGCAGCTAATTGAGGGTCTGCTCCTGCTGGTGGCCTCTGTGACTCCCATCTTCATCCTGGCAGCCCTACAAGAAGAAGGTCAGGGGTCAAACATACCTCTCATTCTGCTCCCTAAGCTGCAGTGACATCTACTGGACTACTACCCCAGGGTGTAGGACACACAGGGAAACAAATCAACCCGTTCCTCATACGGGTCAAACTTTTGTCACTTCAGCCAATTTAATATCAAATAAACCACCAACAGCAGATGTTTGTATTCTGTTGTATTAAAAAGGACATCTGAAAACAAAAAGAAAAGCAAGGACAGTGACAGGTTAAAAGAAAATATTTGTATTGATGTTATATGCTGCCAAACTTTTTACAGAAGAGTGGAATAAAGAGAAACCTTCAGTATTTAGTAAATAACATTAAGATGCTGCATGTTTTATTCATCATGTTGGAGATAACTCCCAAGGAGACAAGAATGGCCCAAAAAAAAAAAAAAGCCTAAATTCCCCACATCACCAATAAAGTCACTACTCAGTGTGCGTGTGCATTTAATTTTACAGTTTGGGGTTCAGAAATGAGACAGGAGAGCATAAAACAAGGAATGTAAAGCATTTCAAATAAAATGACAAGAGGATAGAGAAGCTGTACATGATGGCAGGTATAAGATTTCCAACAAAACATCTAAAGAAAAGAGGATTAACAAAATTAAAGTGATAAAAACAGTGCTGCTTACAAGTACCACTTTCAACAATTACTTTTTGATATCATAATAGGACCAATGAATAAACAGGTTAAAAAAACTTTTTGCAAAGCTACTTTTATAACAAGAACAGTTATATATAAAAAAAAAGAAAAATCAGAACATATATTAACATGGCATTGTGACGGCTGCATAATCTTAAAAATAAAGGGGAAAAGAAAAAAAAAATATATGGCCTGAGAAACTAGACGGGTGATTTACTCCACTTACAGCACTCAGTCAAGAGTCACCCTGAGTTTGGAGTCAAATTTGGCAAATACCTCCAAAGAAAATGGCTTTTTTTTTCGTTTACTATTACGACACGCATTTACTTTCTTTAAACTTTTTTAAAAAGGGTATAAAAACGTGAATTAAACAGAAATAATCCATTTTAAATTTAGAAATCACAAACATGCATTCAATGTTAAAGAATAATGAAAAAAAAGAGACGATTGTTTTCCATTTTCACACTTGCAACATGATGCAGGTGTGAACAACTTTATGACTATACATAAAAAAAAATATATATATATATATATATATATATATATCTGGATGAACAACTTTGGAAGCTGACTGCCAGAAAAGAAACAAAAAACAAAAGAAAAACCTTTGCATGGATTTCATAAATTCACTTCGGCTGCATAAAACTTGATGGTGGTTGGGCCTATACATCTCTTTCAAAGGACTTTAGATATAATAGTAAAAAGGAAAAAGGTGAGAATATATTTGCTTGCCTTAGCAATAATTTCTCCAGAAATACATATTTGAAAAATAAGTCAATTTAAACAAAGTGGCATTTTAACTACACAATATTGTACAAAATAAGGCATTTCTTTGTGTTTACTGCAATGTCTTTTTCCACTTTGTCTCCATTTGCTTGTTTTCTTTTGTAGAAACAAAAGATGAAAATGAACTATTTCTGTGGTAAAATATATATTTATTATATATATTTATATATATATAATCTATACTTTCCTTCAAAACTTGAATAAAAATGCAAGTTGGGGTATAGAGTATGAAAGGGGGAAGTTCATGAGAGCAGATTACTTCATCGCTTCACCGGCGGCAACTGTGGTGACGAGCTGGAGGGGGATCTCTGCGTTAGCCAGTATGTCCTGGGCGTTGTTCGAGCCCTGCTGGATGTTGGTGAGGATGAGGGTGGTTCCGCCCGCCGTGATGATGCTGTCAGAGGAGCCTGCTGAATCCATGGAGGCCACCACGGTGCCGACGGAGTTCACGCCCTTTTTGTTCTGATGGGTTTTAACGTGTTTCGCCAGGTGGTCGCTCCGCATGAATCGCTTGGAACATTCAGGGCAGACAAACTTCTTCTCTCCTGCAGAAAGAAAATAAAGTTTGATAGAATTTGTTGCTCAGTACATTAACTCCTTCATTGTTCTATGACATCCTGTAAGATACAATGCTACTTGGAATAAATTTGTCAGAATAAAAAATAAAAATCTAAGAGCTGCTACATCCTGGTTACATAAGCGCCTACATCATTATCTATTACCATGTATACTCTACTTATATATTTCTAATAACACATTGTTGGTAAATGTCTGTTATAAGCTGGGCGATAAACCAGATTTTTACAGTTCCCGTCGTTCACAATGATAACCGGTGACTATTTTCCCATGTCAGTAAAATAAATAAACTTAATTCTGCCATTTTTCCTGTGTGCGAAATGTGCTGGTATTTCCTTCTCCTTTAGGAGACAATGCATTATGCGGGGAATCACGTGACTCCACTGATCCAGTCAAAAACGTAAGCAAAGAGAATGGCGGATGAGCCCAGTGACGAAGCGTCTAACACAGCTGTAAATTAAATTATATCCGTTAATCCTGTGAAGGCGGACAAAAGCAGAGATGAAGCTGAGCATGTCAGATTTGAGTGCACAGCAGGCGGGAATTTGAGTGAGGGTGTGTGAGTTTAAACGATGCTCACTCTCGTGAACACGCTCAGTTTGGTGGCACCAAAATTACGCCATAGACGTAGAGGAACATGGAATGCAAAGTTTGTCTGAAAACTGTCGGGCCTACCCAAAGTAACGCATCCGACCATCAAACAATAATAGCCACACTATTTAGTTCAAAGATGTGCAAAATGCTCTGTAACCTTCGTGGAAATTTTTTTGCAAGAGAGGTAACATTTCTCTCCTTTTCATGTAATGTGATACATTTCATAAATAAACTATAAATAGATCAGTTGCATTTCCTGCACATGGCTTTATTTCCGATAGAGGAGCCAGAACATTTGTCGTGCATTTATTGTTATCGAGTTAAAACTGCCCAATTCATCGTGATATTGATTTGAAGTCATATCGGCCAGCCCTAATCTGTTTCCTTTGTTTGTACAAAACTAAAAAGCCGAAGACAAAAAAATAAATCAAATTTGACATTTTATAAACTCCTAGAAAACTTTTGGCACCTAAAATTGTGGGTAGCTAACTTTGTTTCAAGCACATGATGCTCGGTTAAACTCACCTGCTGCAAATAACAGAGAGCAAAGTTAAAATCACACCTGTCATTAGATAAAAAGGCGATGACTCAATACTTGCTTTATGGGTCTGCCATGCTAAGAATGGAGACCGGGAGGACTTTAGAAACAAAATCAAAGACAAACATCAACAGGATCAAAGTTACAAGCAGAAATCTCTATGCTCTTTGGGCCACAGTACTTTACAACCCATGAGACTACAGCGAAGTTCCCTGGACGGGGGCCGAAGACAAAAACTAACGAAAGCTTAAAAAGCAGAACAGTCTAAATGGTTGACAAACAATCTCAATGCTGAGGTTGCTTGTCAATGCATAGTGTCCTGCAGACTCATGGTACATTGGTGTCAGCGTGATCTATTGGCCCAACGTTTGAATGAGAGGAAACGTTATGACAGGAGACACAGGAGGACCCCACTGCTTACAGAGATAAAAGAGCTAGACCGCACTTTCCCCACAATCTATGACAGTGAACCAAAATCTTTGAGAGAAAACATCCTGCGGATAGATGAGACTAAGAGTCTAACAAGACGGAGGTTCAAGGATCGTTTGTTTTTAGCCTCTCGCAGTGGGTGCCTTGATTTTCAGAAAGCAAGGTTTTTGTTCTAGGCAACCTGTATTTAAGCAGCGACCACGACTCCAAACAGACTTAGAAAAGCACCGAGATTGATTGAAAGAAAGCTCTGTCAATTCCTGAATGGTCTGCAATGGGTTTCACTGCCATCTCTGGAGAGAGCTTAAAATCACTGTTTGGGACGTGCACTACTCAAATATGATGGAGCTACAGAAGTTTGTAAAAGAAGAGTGGTTAAAACTCCAGTGGAGAAGTGCAAAACGCTTGCTGATGGCTTAAGATGGACACTGGTTTCAGTTCGTCTTTGTACAGGCGGCTACGCTGTACCCCTTCTATTCATTCGGCTAGCTAATCTGAATCGTTAAATTCGTTAAATTCCATTTCGAGAGCGAGATAATCTGTGGTTGTAGCACTAGACATCTTCCAGGCATGTGAGTAAAACTAGCAGCAGTTCAGCGAACAGGATGAATGAATGGTAGCTGGCGCACGCGGATGACGTCATACACACTCCGCTTTGTTTTAAAGAAATATAAATATAAAAAATATAACCGGGGATGTCTGGGGGTCAGTGATTCGCCTACATGTTATGAATGCTGGCGTACCATAAAGAATAAATTATGAACAGTTTAGTTTGTGCCTTCAACTCGTTGCCCATACGAAGACGTTACTTGGATATGACAAAACGGAATATCTTCAGAACAGCTCCAAATGACACAAGACTAATATGGGTTAGTAAAACATGATGTAAAAACGTAAAATCAAAGCGCCAATGTAAAAAAAAAAAAGTTTTCCCCTTTAAGTGGGAATTTATGTAAATGTATCCTTTTTTTCTGTTTTTTTTTTGTGTTTTCCTCCATACATAACAGGGAATTAAATATATATATTTTTTTTACCAAACTTTGTGTAATTGCACTAAGTTTCTGGGAAAAATATTCATTTTAACAAAGATTTCAGGAGTGCCAACCATTTTGATAATTTTTTCCAAGACTACGGTTTTTAAGCATTAGTTTAAAAGGTCTTTGGAACTTTCTACATTTTCATGAACCATTTCTCACTTAGGTGGTTAGAAAAGAACAATTAAAAGCAAAAAAAAAAAAAAAAAAAAAACGGTATCTAAAATCATTAATTTTAGATCAATGCAAACGGAACAATGTGGATTCTAATGTATGTAACTGCAAGAGTAAACACTAACATAACACCCGTAGCTCATCAATGTTTATGCCCCTCTAAAGATCTAGACAGCCTTTACTAGTTAAAACTAATAAACAATGCATTTTTTATGTCTTTCTCTAGTATCTAATCCAATACTGCCATTTTATCAGCAGTGGGACAATGATGTAATGTTGTTTTTTAATGACTCAGTTTACCAGGCTCAAATTAACACATTTTAACAATTTTTATGGATGTTTTTCAATAAAAAGAGGGGCACCTGTGTGTGTTCTCCTGTGCCTCTGCAGCTCATCACTGCGTGTGAACCTCTTCCCGCAGAACACCCAGCTGCAGACGAAAGGTCGCTCCCCAGAATGCCAGCGCAGGTGTGCTCGCAGGTGGGATGTTTTCCCGTACACCTTCCCACAGCCTGCGATGTGGCAGATGTGCTGCTTCTTTTTTCCTGTGTTTGATCCTCTGCAAAACACAGAAATAGGTGTTTTAATCCCATGCGGGTCTGAAAACGACTGGAAGCACCAACCGGGCTTTCTCACCTCCCGCCTGACTCTTTGCAGTTAGGGCAAGTACAAGCTACTCTGCGCAACCTCTTGCCCTCCTGACCGAGCGGATCCTCTTCGTCTCCCAGCCTGCCAGCGAGGTGAGACAGATCGTTGGTGTTCAGGGTGGAGTCTGTGCCCAGCCAGTCTCCAGAGTCTGGTTCTTCCTTGATTCGAATATCTGGAAATTACAAGGAAAGGATCTTATTGACAAAAAACACTGCAGCAGCTTAACTTACACCTTACTGACTGACGGTCTGATAGTCCATGTCTGTGTAGGCTGTTTATGAGACAAAAGGAGCTTGCCTCACCTGTTGATTGGAAATCGTAAAGGAAACATACAGCTATGGAAATTATTACTTGTGAAGATAAAATAAAACCTGACAATTTTTTAAACCAGCTGTTTGTAGGGTTATTACTTTTACCACTACTGACCTCAGCCTTTTAAAAAAAAAAAAGCTTAAAACCCACTTTTTTAATTTAGCTCTTAATTCTGACTAAAATACTGTCTCTTAGATGTCATCTTTCTGTGTGCTCCTTTTTATGCACCTCTGGAAAGCTTTTAATGTCCTGCAGCACTGCACCACTACAGCACTTTTAATTGTATCTTGTATGTTTTTATATGTTATGTATTGTTTTTATGGCTTTGTTGTAAAGCACTTTGGGTACCATTTGGTTATTGTAAAGGGCTATACAAATAAATTTGATTTGATTTTGATTTGACTTTTTGTTTCATGAGCAAATGAATAAATATTGATAATTAGTCATGGAAATGACACAATGCAGTTATTGTTATTCCTAGGTATAACTCCTCACCTCTACTGTGAATTATTCAACAAGTCTTTTTTTCTTCTTCATTGTCTGTAACTGATTTCCAGTTTACTAGGAGGGTCTACCAGAGTTTTATGTAAAAATCTTCTGGTATTTTAGAAACTCATAATGCCATGGCCTCCAAGAGAAGATCCTCCCAGGACCTCAGAGAGAGAACCAGGCCAAAAGCATCATCATATAAATCCACACTCATACAAGTGGGCTCTCTGGAACATGACAAACCAGTCTAAAAAAAAAATCATTAAAATGAATATTTAATAAATATGGCAGAGGTTATGAGTGACATTGGTAACTATGCTGTATAGAGGAAGAATAAGAGGGAGGAGGAAAAAGAGGAAAAGGAAACAAAGGAAAGGAAGTCAATTTGTAATCCAGTTTTTCTCCAAAATCGGTGGGTAGACTAGGATGAGTGTCAACCGGTTTGACTAAAAGTCCATAGTAAAATTAGATAGCTAGCTTAGCTAATGACTATCGTTAGCCAAAATTAAACCAACACTTAATCAGTAAAGAGATGCAATTTATTGATATATTTAACTTCTCCGTGTCACTTTTACTACGCTTAACACAACTCATCATCATCATCAAATGTATTTATAAAACAACAGCAACCAAAGCTGAAACAAAGTGCTGCACATCAATGATAACAAAAAAAACAAAGAAAAAGCTTACAATTGGTTAATAAGCTAAACAAATAAGAACAATAAAAATTAAAAGTAAAATAAAGTTAGTTGGATTGAAAATTATGGGTTTTAAAATGTCTTAACTCTTATTGACACAACAGAGAAGTCAGAGTCAGTCAGCAGTGACTCCTCCTCCCTGTAACGCTGATGAAAGGACAGTTAGCGATGTTACAGCGAATCCATGGGGATTCATTCGCCTCCTTTATTCTTTTCACCATTAGAAAAAATAAAGGGAAATATTCTGACATCACTTCAAGCACACCATTTCCGAACATAATGATCATTGTGAAATAACGATGAATAAAATAAAGGCAACTGTTTGGACTGATGTTAGGTCAGTTGGAACCATTTAAGTAGTCGACCTCAGCTTGCATTACACAATATTAAAATAATCAAGTTTGATGTTTAGTCTGCTTTTGCTTGACAGAATTTTACGGTTTTCCATGAGTTTTTTGCCTTTATCTTGTTCAAAAACAGTTTTGACTACTTAAACAGCTGTTAAAATTGTATGTATTTTTATTGAAATGTTATTCGTAATCAATCTCAGATTTATTAATGGAGCAATCAGTAGGGTTTTTTGTTTTTTTCCTTTGTAAAATATTGATAACAGAATTGTTAATTCTGAATAATCAAAGTGCAAAAATAAACAGAGAATGTAAAATATCGCCTTTAGCAAACTATTCTGTGTCTTTTATTCTTGCATATCAACATGATTTACATACTGCTTGTACAATTCGCTAGCAGTGGTATTATTGCGCTATTACTAGTGCTGAACTATAGGAAGCAAAACAATGTTTTGATGGCACTATAAGGATGCCACAATCCTGAAGAATGTTTGAACTTCAATGATAAAAAAAGATACTTTGATGAGGGTTATGACACTTTTTTCTCTAGGCGTCGAAAGTGGAAATCTGCATTTACTTAAAAAAATAATAATTCAGCATTAGTTTATTGCTTTTTACTGTTGAATTTGAATGCAAACTCCCTAATACAAAAACATTCAACCTGTGATTAAGTTTAAATGTTGTGCTAGCAAACAAAATTTAAAATTAACATAAAATATGACCTGCAGAGGAGATTACTGAAATAAAAAAAGTCCTGCTCCCTTACTGAACCATTAAGCAGTTTCCTACTTTTTGATGTTTTATAAGTTCCTGGTTAGTCTAGAGAAAATGGCAGGTAGAAGAGCTGCCCCAGAAAAATTACCTGGTTCAGACCTATACTAAACTGAACAGCTGCCGGGAACATTTATAAAGTGGATTCTTGAGAGGGACACACCAAGAATCCTCAGAGAGCTCCCAAAGCTCCTTTTAAAAAGCTTTAAGTATTGCTCTGCTTTAAGGTAAAACATAAGTTTGCAAAGGTCTTAAGTGGGTTTCATGCAACAGTAGTTCTGTATAAAAAAAGGTCAAGCAGCAGAAGTAAAAAAAAAAAAAAAAAAAAAAAGCCTAAATTCCCCACATCACCAATAAAGTCACTACTCAGTGTGCGTGTGCATTTAATTTTACAGTTTGGGGTTCAGAAATG